AATTTTATCAAATTAATCTAGCTGTTTGACCGTGAAAAGTAAGATAGATACAAACACATACTCACAAACTATCGCCTTTCTAATATTAGAGTGATTTTTTAATTAGCAATTAGGAACAGTTTCAAACGTATTCTCCAGCAGAAAAATCCACTATCTTTGCTGTGTTTAGTTAACAAGGGTTATCTGTAGATTAGAATAATGTGTTACCTCTTCGAAGCGACTTCACTTAATTTTTTTTTTCGTTTCCGTTTCGTGAAACACAAATCATTTTTTTATTTCATCTAATTATTTGGGGGTAACTGCGAATTAATGTGGTTACCTACCTACCCTCAATAATATTTATTTAGCTCGTTATCGCTATATACCACGACACAAGAGTCAGTATCTCAACACTGACAAATAGTTATTGCAGACCCCTGCAATTAGCGACGCTGGCCTGGGAGAACACATGGGCATACATGTCACTACCCATCAAAGGATGAGATGTTTTGTTACGATGACTATGATTCTCATTGTAAAATTCGTCAAAGCACCGACCGACCAATATTAATCCACTGTATAACTTATGTGCAAATTGATTAATAAATACTTATAACTAAAAAAAAATTTGTACATTCCGTAATTTTGATAATTGTCGATTCGTTGAAAATTAAATTTTAAAAAGTAGTCCTTGTGATTTTACATTTTGACATGGTCACCCTGTATAGCGAATTCATAAGGAATATTAAAAAGTAATTTATTTTTCAGATACCGAATATATACAACGTTGATCTGTACATATTTATTTAGTAGACATTAATACTAAATGTTAGTGTCTCTGGTTTTTGTTTCTGTTGTGATCTGAGGTAGGTACATAGGTAGGTCGATATTTTTTTTTATGCTGAACGTCAGGATTGAGGAGCCACATAAGATGTGTTTATTTACTAAATCTACTCAATTTTACTACTTTCTCCTTATGCTACAAATTCCAGCAGACTTGCTATTAAATATTTTCTGAGTGGAATATAAATTTTAACCTTTTTTAATTTCATGGCAATTCACACTCTTAAATATAGATTGAGGAGCCACATTAAAAGTATTGTATATTCCTGAATATCAACAGTACTAAATCCAGGATTTTTAGTAGGCACTAAATACAACATTTTCAAAAATATTCATTTAATACTTTCTGTGTTCCTGGTGGCTCCTTAATTCAAATGTTTAGATTGAGGCGCCACTTTTACACCGACGTAACTTAAGATATATCTTACTACAAATTTCAGAATATGTCCCACAAAATTATTTACTCACCTACTAAATAACGGGGGAGTTACCGTTTAAAATCTGTAATGGCTCCCCAATCCAAACGGACACAATTTAAATGGGATCATTTCCGAATAAACCCCTTCGAACAAAAAATGGATTTTGAAAAGCCGTCTATATATGACAGTTATGCCTGACCATGAAACATCCTCCTTTTTGAAGTCGGTTAAAACCTCCGCTCGGCGTAGTTTATTGTCTCATTAGCACATCCGATGGGTGTGTGATGCTCAGGATATAGCAAATACTGATTGTTACAAGACTAGAGAACAATAGCGAGAATCGGACCAGTCTCGTATTACACGCCATATGGTCTACAAAGTTAGGGTTGCCAAATCCACATTTAGATTAGTTAGTTTATAACTTTTTTCTAATGTTTTCGTTTTCTATTTGAAAGTATATGAAATCGCTTAAATTCTGTTTTGTATGAATATGAATGTATTACTCCGCATTTTATAAATATTTAACTTGTAGGAAAAAAAAAAACCATTATTATTATATATTACGTGACAACTAACATGAAATAATAAGGTAATTATGTAGGAAGGTATATATGAAGTAATTATGATTATTATTTATTTAAACATATACCCATGCAAACATTTTGTGGGTTTAATTATGAATGTTAGAAGGTTATGACGTGTAAAGTATTAAGTCAGTCAGGTCAGATGGATACAATTCTCTATTATCTTATCCCAACTTACAAAAACAATGTATGTATACGACGCGCTTGTATTCAAAACTCCGGTTTCTTTGTTGTCCGTTTTAGTTCATCACAAAAGATAAGCCGTGACGATAATAACTTGTTGGTGGTTCGCCTACGAGAGTCATTAACCAGTTTTCCTAGTCTAGCCAACTTTCACGGGACTATGACGACTGGTATTTCTTTTTTGTTTTTAAACACAATATAATTTAATAACGTTTCAACCATAGCATTAACTTAATAGCAATAGAACAAATACATCAGAATATTGTAATTTCGATAAGTACTAAGTACTAAGTACTATTGCACCAGTACCAGCTTTTGTAAGTCCTGACAAGGGGTGTCACAAGGCTTATAATTGTATCTTGTTAATCAAATATGGTCAAGAAATTAGTTCATGTGTGCTCTTGTATTGAAGTATGGTATTTATTAATGAATACTTTGAAAGGATTTATTTTCTTATTTTCGAACGAGATTTCCGTCATTTTTTATACCTTTTTCATGACATGGGGCAAACGATAATAATGACGGGAACATGGAAAACATGAAAATGTAAGCGCTAATCCTAGCTCCTAAATCATTTCTTTTTATGTTTGGGTACGTTCTCAGTTTTTAACACCATAAAAGCAAATAGGCTAAATTTTACATTGAAGGATTTATTCCGTAACAAGTTATTGATCATCAGATAATGTGAATCACATTACAATATACATACAAAACAAAATAACATACACGTAATATACGAGGGCGGGTCAATAAGTCCGTGACTTTTGGAATAAATCACAGATTTTTTGATAAATAAATAATTTTATTTTTCAACGTAGTCTCCCTTGAGCTCTATACACTTTGTCCAACGCTTCTCCAATTTTTTTATCCCTTCCAAAAAATATGATTTGTCGAGGTCCTCAAAATAGGCCTTTGTTTGCGAGATGACTTCATCATTGGAGTCAAATCTTTTTCCACCAAGTCATTTCTTCAGGTTTGGGAACGAGAAGTAGTCACTCGGAGCCAAATCTGGAGAATAGGGCGGATGAGGGAGCAATTCATAGCCCAATTCATGGATTTTTGGCATGGCAACTGCACATGTGTGCACCCTTGCATTGTCTTGGTGGAAAAGAACTTTTTTCTTGGCCAAATGAGGTCGGTTTTTTTTCAAATCGTCATTGAATCGGTCCAATAAGTTGGCATAATATTCCCCATTGATTGTTCTTCCCTTTTGAAGGTAGTCAATGTGGATTATCCCGCGTGCATCCCAAAAGACAGTCGCCATAACTTTTTTGGATGTGGTGATTGGTGTGTTGTGATGGATCCATGTTTCGTCCACGGTTACAAAACGGTGCAAAAACTCCTCCCGATTAAACAACGCCAAACCTTCCTGTGAAGTTGTTACACGATTGCGTTTGTGGTCGACTGTGAGCAACGGCTTCCACAATCTCTTGCACTTTCAATCAATTTCTGGTGAAGAGACCTCAACTGGGCGTCCAGGACGTTCGGCATCTTCAGTGCTTGTACGACCACAACGAAATTCAGTAAACCACTTTTTTACCATTTAAATCGATGGTGCAGAGTCCCCATAGTATTTATCAAGCTTAGCCTTGGTCTCGGTAATGGTTTTTTTTTTTGCAAAAAATAATGCTTAATAAGCACACGAAATTCACTTTTTTCCATTTTTTCCAAACACAAACTAACTGACGCAGCAACTTCAAATTTTGACAGGAGTCAACTGACAAATGCCTGTTGACAGGAGTAGTGTTGCTTTTTCAGTAAAGAGGTCAGAAATTCAAAAAGTCACGGACTTATTGACCCGCCCTCGTACCTAAGCTGTATATTGAATATTATTATTTTTCAAATTATTCACTGATTCATTTCAAGACACTTTTTGACTCGCACTACCAATCTGTGGAACAAGTTGTCGTCTACGGTATTTCCGGACCGATACGACCTTCAAACATTCAAGAAAAGAGCGTACTCCTTCCTCAAAGGCCGACAACACGCTTGTGACTTGAGTTGCAGGCGTTCATGGGAGGCGGTAGTCGCTTTGCATCAGGTGACCCGTCTGCTCGTTTACCCCCAAAAAAAGACTGAATTGAGTAATGACTTAAGTGCTCAAGTTGTGCTAAATTTAATTGAAGGCAGTGTGTATGAACTCTAAAAGATTACTGTGTTTACAAGCCAAGGACTAGAAAACCAAAATTAGATAGCTACTATATACTATGATATCTTTTCAAAAATAAATACTGTTCTTTGGCAGGCGCATCATTTCAATCAATTTTACTAATTATATTAGAACAAATTAAACAAAATTAAAATTTGTTAATAGGTAGTTTAAGGTTATTTCTCAGTGAGATAACGGCGGCGCCACGATCAAAAGAGTTATAGTAACTGTGGAGCATATTTTGTTATTAGTAGTACTGTCAAGGTTAGCTTATTTACAAGTGACTTATAATCATTATTTGCAAAATCTAAAAAAAATTTGCACTTGAACACTAGCTCTTGATTTGGAAGTATTAAGAGTTTTTAGTTACGTCCCAAGTTTACAAGGACCATTATGTGAACTGAGACTAGGGAGGGAACTATTCTTTGCTTAGCTCACATACCCACGTCAATTACCACTAGTTACTAAGCGGCACCGATATCTACGACGCTATGATCTGATAAGTTGCAAGTTCTACTCTAATATAAGCATTTATCTTAGCGTTAAGTCAAGTGATATAGTAATGTTTGACCCGCTTTAATTTGCTAATAACGTTAAATACGAATGTGAGCTTGTTTGTTTGTGACGATTTCACACTATATATATGCGTGGTGTGTGTAAAAAAGAATATTTAGTATTTTCATCCAGAAAAGTAGGTATTTTTCCCGGGATATACCTTACTTTATTGACAAAATCAAAGCCCGGGTCGAGCTAGTTTTCTAGATAAATGCTTTATTTTGGTAAATGACGGCTTAAAAGTCTATATTGGTACTTTTTACTAATGCACGTTTGATGTTGTTACAGATTGGACGTAACGTGTATCGAGCGACGCCCAGCCCTACGAACACAATCTTCGAATGCAGGGTTTTGTCTCGACACCATGCTACGCTCTATTACGACAAGGGCCACTTTTACCTAGTGGTGAGTTAATCTTATTTATTTTGAGCTGTTTTTTTTTATTGTATGAAGGGGCACAAACAAGTAGACGGGTCACCTGATGGTAAGTAACTACCGCCGCCCATCACACCGACAGCCTTTAATAGTCCACTGCTGGACATAGGACTCTCCTTGGAAAAGAGATTTTGGTTTATTATACTGCGCTGGTCAGAAGGGTTTTTATAGGGTTTGTGTCAAGCCCCTCCCCCTTGGAAACAGGGAGGGGGGGGGGGGTGAAAAGCAACGAAAGAATTGCTTAACACCGGTTTTCTGTAAAGCTTGGGTATCGCTCCAGTCGAGCCGTGCCCATTTATAATTTTTTTTTTTTTACATCTGATACACAACGCCATCTAGTTTCAAACTAAGCAGAACTTGTACTATGGAACATAGATGACTGATACATGCATATTATACATAGAAAACACTCAAACTCCGAAACAAAGTTATTTGTGCCGAAATAATATTTTTTTTAGGAATAAAAAGAAAACTGTTTGGGGCAGTGTGAAGGCACTTTATACTATATTATGTAAACTAGTAACAGAAGAACAGGGAAATAGCTCTCTTATAAGAGGCTTTGAAAGATCAACAGTGATTTTAATACAATACATAGGGAGGATCTTGCGAACAGAGCAGGTGATTATGCCTGGATATATAAATAAATACATAAGAACTTTCATTGCACGATCCAGCATCAGCCAATTATAGTTACTTCGGTATATGTGGTGTGTGTCTTCACCACATAGAGCTAAGACCTATTAGCTATATTTGAAGGTCGCCACAAAGGTTTAATGGATAAACCCATGACAAATTTTAGTTCAATATTTATAAATCGAAGCAATTAATTTCTTTCAAAACATAAATACAATTCATAAAAATCTAGATAGGAGTTCTGAAATTTGAAAAAAATAATGTAGCGGTGTTATCGGATCGCACATCGCTCATATAAAAATAAGCTTCTATTTCTGTAATTATTGCACTAACAATACATTGTTCAAGTAGGACAAATGGATTTATGTGACATAAGCGAGTGGCCGCGGCTTCGCCCGTGCTTAAATTAGCATACTTAAGCAGCAAAACTAAATATACATGTTAGTTACGTTTCCTAGTAGGTACAGTAACCTAAATATTCTGTGAAAATTTTGTTAACAATAGTGCAAAGTAAATTAAGAACAATGTGTTATTGTTTCTCTTAATACTAAGTAATAATGTATTTATTTCTATCGTTGACTACTTAATGCTATTTTATGAAGGTGAACGTAATGTTTGTGTCACAAGGGACGGAAAACCCAATGGCATTCCTAGATAGCGTTGTGGAGGGCTGTAAAAGGTAGAAATGAGCTTTGAATATTATTATTAGAAAATAACATTACACAACTTTCTAACTAGTGATAAAAAAATAGTCTTTTCACATTGCACTCATGATGATCATATTTCTTTTAAACATAGTACAAGACAATTAAGCATGTGTATTATTATTAATAAAAACCTCAGTTATTGCTATTATTCCTATTGATAGATACATTTGTTTCATTTTGTGCTTACATACAATATCATAGTTACGTTCGTGAAATTGTATTTGCCATGGTGTTATTTTCGATTATTGTGTCTACAACTATAATGACTTTTCAAATTTCTTTTATGTAACTTCTGTAATTTTTTTCGTAAAACATGAAAAGTATTTTAAATAAGAAATCAATGACCTCTTACGCCATTGCCTCTTGCCCTTTACTTGTTTACGTTCCTCGAATGAGCGGCTCTCTGTGTTAGGACTTTAGGAGAGAAGACAATGAAGAAGCTGTTTGTCGATCGTGCTTTAAACATCCTTGACGAATTCGATGTAGTAATAATTACAAAACTATTACAAAACAGACCGCAGGAGAGCCATGCTTCGGCATAAATGACCGATTCGACCGGAGTGATACTACCATCATTATTCGTTCTCTGGATACTACGAGCCTCACAAGAAACCGGTGTTAAGCTATACTGTCTTTGCTTTTTGTCAAGTAAGTAAGGTCACCGGAGCCACGCTCTCGTGTCTCTTGAGTGGCAGGTGTCCCTGAGCGGCGCTAGTCACCTACAATCATCTGACCCGTCTGCTCGTTTGCCCCCTGTGCTATTTTTTTTTTCGTTGACGGAGTGGAAAATCCCTTTGAATCTTCTGCTCCTTGGGGATTCAGGAGCCAGGAGTATGTGCTGAGTCCACTAAAATCACACCGACGGCCGGCTTCAGGCCCTCTACCCGGGAGGACCCGGTCCATGTAACATACCCTAGTACCATAAAAGACAGACGACAATCTAACTACCGCTTACTTATCAATAACAGTGAAAGTGTGCAAACTACTGTTACTACTTTGGTCGATTTCATTTAAAAGAAAGTATTAACTTACGGTTTTATTAAAAGCTATCAAATTGATTTACCCGATTTTGGAACACACATTGAACTTCATTCTGGCCCCGTAAACTGTGTAGTTACATTTATAGCTGATCCATGTCAAAATTAGTTTGCTAACAAATGTTACGAGCGGTACGAAAAAGGCAACCCATCCCACATTTAACGTTATGAAAGAGCCTTGTACTGGTTACGTGTTTAAAAGCCTAGTTTTAATTTTTATTCGGCTATTACTTATTTTTATAGACATGTACGCCTACTAGTGAAATCTATTAGCACTAGCAAGTCTACATGCTTATTCTACCGAACTGTGACTCCGGTTTTAGAGGTTGTTTGCCTACTAACGTTTGAATTGTTCGCGTAACGTGAAATCAACCTCGTAATAATCAACAATGAGTTGTAAAGAATGAAGCCACTAAGGTTGATTATAACCTCGATAAGACTATACTTGTTTCTTTATTTAGTGAGCAAATAGATATGTCAGGATACATGTTTCTAGAAGAATATTTCCGTTTAAGTAAATGGAGTTTTTAAGTAATACTGGGTCATCTATAACTCGAAGAAATTAATGTTGTTTACTTAAAATTATATTTAGTTACTTACTACATACCTTCTTCAATGATGATGCAAAATCGTTGTTGCTTTAATTAATAATAATATTTATGATCGTACTGTTCTTTTGATTTAAAAATATCTACGATACATATAATATACATTAGTAAAACATTATGAAGCTCTTCTCCTGTATCTGTTTTCTTATGTTATCTTTTCACTATCAAAAAGATTATCATAACATCATATTTACAAAAGGCCTTATGCTTCGGTCAGAGTTGCGAATTGGCTGTTCAGATCGGGTCCGCTGTCTCCGAATTCACGGTCTTTAAAAGAATATTGTTAAATAGTGTTGAATATTGTAAAATATCACAGAGCAAATAGATTTTTGCAGTCACAGGTAAAGTTTAAAAAGTGAATAGAGAGTGCGTGAAGATAATACAAGAAGAGAAGTAGAATTGAGGAATAGGGAAACAACACACTAGCCTTAAATAAATTCAGAAAAAGAGAAAGGCTTTATTAGGAATACTTTAATCATGCTTTGAGATACAAACATATAATAATCACTAATACTTACAACTCTAATAAGGCCATAGGTATTCTTTTAGTTATTGGATTAACTAAAATGTGTTTGTATTGTATTATAAATTATAATGAAATGTTAACAAAATTGTTTAATATTTCGGTTGATAACAATATCCCTCGTAACGAGTCAATATTATGATTTGGACAGATTAGTATTTTAGTTTGGACGCAGACAAGGTGTACATCTGTTTTAATTTACCATACACGAGCCAGGCAGTACTAGCTAGCAAGCAAAGTTCCCAGAAGGCCAATTCTCGTAATAATAGTTCGGTCAAATTAACAATCTAATCACATTACAGAACGTTGGATGTTTAATACTTAACTTATAAAAAGTACTTTCGTAAAGTACCTTTTTTGACAGTTTTGTGAGACCGAGAGTTGATCGGAAATGAATTGTGACTGAACTTTTATTTCGAGAATTGCCCTCCAGGTTGTCATTGAGTACAGGCTAAGTCCTACAGCGTAATAGAGACGCAATTAAATTGTGATAGTGTCTATGTTTAAAACAGTACCAAAAGCAGTATCTACTATCCGATCGGCCTGTGGGTCTAAATGCCCAAGTATTTATTGAAAAAGATAGATCTTGTACACTTTTTGAAATAAAACTTAATAAAATAGCTATTTGATTATTTATATTTTATTTTCCCAAAAAGTAATGCAGGAAAGCTGACGGAACTTATAACATCCCTTGTTGACACTTCAAGCACTAATGAAGAACACTAGGAAACCAAAGTAATCTTCCCTACGATTTTGTAAAAAATAAACGCATATTACAATATGCAAGTAGTAGTTTCACGCACAAATAGACAGACAGAAACTGACTAGCGTACCAACGTAGAGGTGGTTTCCTAGTCGAGTCTTTTCCTTTTCTTCACTAATCTCCCCTGCCTTCTTTCAGAAACTGTGAAACTGTCCAGATATTTCTTTAATTAATTTTTAAATTGCCTTAGATTAAAGATTGTAAGCCATTTTGTGATGATCCCAATAGAAATTCAATTAGTTTAAGTATTGAGATAAAAAACGCACCATAAGGAATTTCAAATCTGAACACGTGAATATATTTAAATTTAAAATAAGATTGTAAACGTATTCGTTTTACTTTTGTATGTAAATTTGTTGAACGGCTTCGCCGGAATTTTAGTTTGTTATGGTTACGTATTTTATTGTTAAAGACAGCCCTCAGAAAGATAATTCAAGTAGAAATCTTACGTGCCATCTTTTACATTTTATTCAGTATACATTTTAATATTTCTTTCCTATTTCTTCTATTCTTGAACTTTTGTTATAATGTCTATCGTTATTATGATTGGTGTATCAGCAGTGGAACATTTTCCAAATAGCCATATTTGGAAAATGTTCCACTGCTGATAATGAGCTCTCATGATAGGATTAAGCTTGCTTAGTGCAGATAAATACCCTATAAAAACCAGTCATATTAAATTTGTGATTGGTTTATGAATTATGTAATGCCAGATATTTACGACCAGTGATCGAAATAGTACCGCTGGGCTGGGACGAAAACGGTCTGGTCTATTACTGATAAAACTACAGACATATCCTTAATCTGTCAGACCACAAAATACTTGGTTGGTTTTTCAGTATCAATCGTAAGTCTTGCTACTAGTAACGAAATATCAATAGAATGGTAATTGCAGAATTCCAAGGCCAAGATCCACACGCTTCTACGTATACCAATGGAATGCATTATTGTTTTTATGTTTACAGTAATTGTGTTTCTTCAATTATTCAGCAGGTTTAACAGTTCAAACATCATTGTTTGTTTGTTTGTTTACAGGACAATCAGAGTAGCAATGGCACGTTTATAAACAACAATCGATGCTCCATATCGAAGGAGCAGGAGCCACACGAAGTGTTCTCTGGTGACGTGGTGCAGTTTGGCATACCGGTCGTGGAAAATGCCAGTAACGCTGAAAAGGTTAGTTTGGTCCTTATTTCTCCATGTTCTGGTACACAGTACCTCTAGAATATACGGAAAGTGATATATCATGTTTGTGTGAGGTTTTATGTGACCGTGAATTAATTAGCTGTCTTAGTAGATTCTAAAAGAAATGACCTTTGTTTCAATTAAAAAAATGTCGATAGATGCTGTTATGGTATGTAAATTTGTTTGAAATCACTCAATAGTTAGTGTAATGTACGCGTTAAGTTATGGATTCATTTGCAATTAACACTATTTGAGTGATATACTTTGTTAATTAAATGTTCATATTCTTCCCTTAATTATTTAATATAATAGAAGTTTGCATTTTATAAGACAAAATGAGGTGGTAGGACATAGTATATTTTTATGCCAAAACGGTCCAGTATTACTAGGCTCTACTATAAACAGGTCACAGCAAATAAAACCCTAGGTGGCTCGCTTTAGGTTTGTTGAACACTTAGGGCATTTTTTTTTCAGTTTCACATAATAATATAACACAAATGTTTATGATGGTTGAGAGAATAAAGAGAAAATACAGAAAAAAATATGTTTAAATGGAGGAGGTTCAGTAACCTTTTCGTTTTTTAATATATTTTTAACAAGTGTTCTGTGCGAAACCATTAATCCATGTTATTATCATATAAATAAAACGTGCTTTTAAAGTTGTAAAACTTGTTTTAACGTCTTCTGATCTTTGATCATTTTATGTTTATATCAGTATGTTGTAATTATGATTCTTGATTTGTAGTATAATTCGTGGTAAAGTATACGTCGTCTCATTAATTTACACTTACTCAGAGTGATATTTATTTAAACTCCAAAGACTACCTTTTAACACAATATCACTGCAGAAAGCGGACATCTTAGCCTCTAAACGTACGTTATAGAACTAAATCACTGTGAAAACCACCTTATGGTGTAGAAGAGTGAAGAAGAAAACATCTGTCCGTTTTTCATCTAATTGAGTGCCCGAAAACTGAAGTTCCTTATTACCATTGAGGCATTGCTCAAAAATTGTAAAATAAACTATTGAAATTTATTTTATTAAATTATCTACATGGATAATTTTTACTTCCCAGCTTTCCTTATTTGATTTTAGCTTCCAATGAACTAATGTCAGTTTCTTACCCATAAAGTATGACTTCGATCTGTTCTAAATGTAACTCCTTACAATAGTTAAAACTTAGGTACGAAAAAAGATCCATCCAAAGAACCGGCCATTTATTCGATCTCGATTTCTCGATAAAAGTATTATATTAGTTTTTAAAATAAAATAGGTAAAAAAAAAACAAGAACCAGATTTCTTTTGATGCTGTTTCATCAACAGCCTTTAATAGTCCACTGCTGGACATAAGCCTCTCCTTAGAAAGGAGGTTTTGGCCTACTATGATGATGTTTAGTCACATGAATTCTTGATTTTCTGCTCTCCTAGCCAGATAATAAGTTACGTAAAGTTTTATATGGTTTCAAAATTGCATTAATGCAATTTTCGTACAAGGTCAACGGCTTAGATATGGATGGAGAACAAAATGCAAATTTGTCACATCTTCAAAATGAGTAGATATAATAAAATAACAACTGTTGTAACAATAATTTATTAGTATTTATGTGCTTGTCTTTTACAAGATCATGTTTATAATAGTAATGTACAGGCGTTTTAAATCTAACTGGTCTCGATAGAACTGACTGTCTAACATTGATTGCTTTTTTCAAATAATGGCAATGTTAGCTTACAGAATGCCAACAACCGATCTAAATTATTATTGCTGAATTTTGCCAATCAGGAGTACACGTGTACATAAATTATACACTGGTTATTTCTTTATTTCTTTTTCACACCTCACTTGAGTAGCTATTATTTAAAACGCTAAGTAAGATTTCCAAAATTTTTTTTTTCAGTAAGTTAGTTATTAGTGTTTTACGCGTAAGAAAGAGTTACGTTTATTGTACGTGATGAATGTGATGATAACAAAATATTTTGCCACTGCATATTTATAAATTGATATAAACTATTTTAGCAGGGTCATCTGTTGTGTCTAGAGGTAATTTTTACGCGTGTGTCCAAAAATATATAGGTAGGTTTTATCGGCAGTCTGGTCTCCATAGACAGGCTCTGCCTAGTTGGACACCAGATGGCCATTTATGTGTTGTGTCGAATTATTATTTATTAGTTGTAAGTATATGTATATAAAGTACATTAATATATATATACTTGAAAGTATTTTTCAAGTTGTGGATCTTCATGAACATACTTGGAATAATGAACAAATTAAAGATGATAATACGCATTAGAATCGGATACAGATATAAATGGTGGATAAATAATATTTTTAGTGTTAGCTTAAAGTAGCCTTTTAATTGTATTTAAATCGATTTTAAGTAATCGAGTCGACAACGTTTTAGGTCATTACTAATTTATCTTATCGATTTCGAGAACATAAAATATTGATTAAAATTAAATATCTCTATTCTCATACCTTTTTTAATAACTAAAAGACCAAGAGCCAACTTTTTTTGTTTAGATCCTAAAGTCAGTAATTTCTAATATTCAATTTTTAAAGGAGTCCTCTTGGCATAAAAAAGGAAAAACGGCCCAAAATTCTCAAAATCATAACTTAAAACATCAAGGCTTTCTCCGAATTTGTCTTTTAATATTAAGATTTAAAAATATATATTTATGTAATATTTAGTATAATATATTATTTATTAATATGCTCGTGCAATATAACACCAGAAAAATATTTTTACTTCGACAGAACACGTTTCCCCCTGTCGTGGCACTGCTTAAGCTCTATCATCCCGATGGTAAGGAGGCGAAGCCATCGTTCAACCCCACCATGACCACACCGCTGCACCTCAAGGAACTGTATCAGCTTAATAATTTTGTTCAGGTACGTACTACAACACAAGCAAGAAGGAAGAGGACTTTGTTTTACCGTAAATTTTCCCATTTCTGTAGAGTGAACATTTTAGATATTCAAATTTTTTACATTCATTTTATTATATATATATTTTTTTTTGTTACTTATACATATATAAAAATATCATGATCGCTCTTAATCAAATTTTATTTACATTCTTCTTCTTTCTTGGAATATTTGTTTTTCTTGTTACTCTTAATTTAGGATTTTTGCCGCCATGGAAATATTATCTGATATTTGCTAGTAACTATAAAGCCAATATCCATATCTAATTTCATAAAAAATATAATGACGTGGCTGTGGCGGAACTTTGGGCCGACAAAATTTAAGGGTGTTCACCAGCTGATACAACGAACAAGATAAATAAATTTGTAAATAAAAAAAAATTGTTGGACGAATATTATAAAAAAAAACTATGACATTTAACTGCAGATTTGTTAAAAAATATGTACGTATTTTCAGCTATCTAACAAGGTATAAAAGTCTAGCATAGTATCACAATTCATAAAAAAACTTAGATGAAAGACGGGGGGTGTTTGGAGAAGAAGAATTTGCGTACAACCCGGTATCTAGTTGAAAGCTTGGCTTGTATTTTTGAACTGTTTCGTTGTCTATTCTTGACTAACTATTGCTAAGTGAACTTTGATTTGTGCTTCTGATACTATTGAAGGTTACGACCTATACGAACGAGGAATATGCTTATATTATGATTTGTTACGGATACTGCTAACGCGTATCCGCACGAGCCACCTTACCGCCTCTTCCAATCCACTTATTACGATTATTAGAATCCAGCCATTCTTTTACACCTCTCCTGTAATGCACAGGGCAACTATCATGCTGAAACTACATGCCGCGAATGAGATTAAGGTGTAAATCATCAATTAATGTAGTTAAATTTAGTTCCCAAAAAGCTTTCATACTGTTCTCGGGGAGAATAAAATGTCCAATCCAGTGGTTTGATTCGTCATATTAGGAGTTATCAGTGCTTTTACCCAATAATAAAAATAATGCTGAAGTAATTGGTTATACCGGTTTATTAAATTTGGACTCCATGAAATATTTCAGAAATAAAATAATAATAAAAAAAGCATAAATCTCTAGAAATCCAACCTCTTCAAAGTATCTCTTCAATAACTTGTACCGGTGGCGTATAGTGAAATGGGTATAAGCCCGCAATATTCCCATAACTGTTTCGATTGTGACAGTATAACTTCTTGGGAAATAATATTGGTTGAAGTTGTTGGATCAAATCTAAATCGTTGAACTACCTTGTGGTTCATTGTTCTTCATCATTTTCTTCATTGAAACGTGATCTACCCAAATCAGATCGTCACCTTGAAACAGATCTCTTCACTCTTAATTTGTCGATGGTTCCTGTCTAACTGCAGTTTTTGGACGTCCCAAACGTTCATCTTCCCCCAAGGTCTTACGGCCAAAATTAAATTCAGCTGCCCAAAATTTCACTGTGTTAAATTATGGTACACAAAATCCGACTCATCTTTGGTTTGCGTAGGCGTATTGCCTTTTAAAAACAAATATTTAATGACAGCTCGATACTCGATTTTGTCCATTTTCATAAAAACACTCACACCAACTCACTCAAACGACTGTTACATAACAACTGCGCGTCCAAAATGGCTGAAACTTTGGCGAGTAACTGTCAACAGATGAACAACGAAATTCACTAGCTTTTATTCACGAGTGCCGCCATCTTCGTGTTGAGGTATATATATGGTAGGTATATTTAAGGTGTATATATGTAAATGATAAGTTGGTTGGTGTACGCTTCAAAAACTCAAGTTGCACCGATTGTGCTTACCGATTTTGCAACAAACAAAGCTTCAAAGATTACTTTCATCTATTTTTCGCGTCAGTTTTGTTCCTCATTTCTCATCAATGTTACCACAATGTGCCACAGCAAAGCGTGGCGGGTTACATTAAGTACTTTATAAAATACTTTAATAAATAATTTAATAAGTAATAAATAATTTGTTCTTCAGGAAGCGATTCAACGTGAAGCATCGCTAGAATCTCGTTTGCGCACGTTACGCGAGTGTGTGGAGCGCACGCGTGCAGAGGCTGCCTCGTCTTGGGAACTGTTCGTGGGAGAGCAGCGCCTGCTCATGCGCGTACAAACACTCGAGACCATGCTCACCGTCGGGAAACAGCCCGATCACAACCAAGTAGCACAACTGCTCACTGATAAGAGGAACTATCAGGTAACTTATAGCCTTCCTTTCTGAAAAGAGGTTAACTAATCAGATGGTGACAGTTATCTAATAGTAAATTTGTTGAGTATTATTCACTTACTGTACTTTAAGTGCTATATATGTAGTTATTATAGTAGTCCGTAAATGCTTATACAGAGAGTTTCATTTCCTATCCCATATACTTAAGCCACATATTCTGCCCTTAATTTCTAGGCGATTTGCAAAATATGAACAAAATATATCCAGTAGTTTAGCCACAGGACTTATTTTTGTGTTTCGTAAATTGCAACATCATGTGTACATGCAGTCATAATACATTGACCTCAGGCGGCGATCAGCTGTATACGCGGCGCGGTAATCACACGTTGCCGCTTTTACTACACCCGAATCGAACGAAATATGTTGATTATTACGTCATCACGATGCAACACGCGTTTTTAATTAGTTCATCCAGTAAGGACAGTCAGTCGGCCCTTGGCCACCGGCGAGCTTATGCTATTCCGTATCCTTGTAGATGCGCTCACGACAAATAACCGTAATAATAATATTGTTGTTGTTTATGAGATACATATTTGTTTAGAGAAGTTTTCTTGTGGTAATAATTGTTTAGTCTTATTGCTTTCGTCATAATACACGGCAATGGTGTGAACAATTAATGTTATCGTGTGCGCAAGACTTCGTAATGTAAGGAGTCCTGCTAATTTTATTTTGAAAAGTCACTATTAGGTTCTGTGTGTAGTGTAGTGTGAAACTGAGTGCATTATCAGTCTTTTAATTTTATTGGGTTATCGATATCAACATCCATAATGCCGTGAGTGACCTTCACAGCGGCGGAATATCCTGCTATGATGTTAATTTATGGAAAACTCTATCAAAACGCATCTTTTGCTTTACGGACACGTATGGAGTCAATCGTGTATGTCCTACAGACTGTAGAATTTTTGTAAGGGCGGTACAAAGATTACGAGACAACCAAGGTAACTACTTTTTCAAGGAGTGACGCGTACTGCTGGGTCGGAAGCTAGTCGAGCATTCACGAAATAAACACGTGAATAAAATCGCATTCTTTATAAATAGATTTTTAAAAGCAAGTGAAGTGATTGGTAGGTAGGTAATAAGAATGTAAAGTTCGCTCGTCGCGGCGGCGGCTGCGGCGGCGGCGCCGGCGGCGGCGTCGTTTTGATGTCGCCGACATTGCGACGCTGCCGTGTAGGTACAGTTCACCGACTCATGTTATCAATGGTGTTCTAATTCGGAAATTATTTTATTGTATTTAGTTTGTTCTAAATTTGCATTTCTGTATTTTCGTACTAATTTTTTATTTTTTTATTTTAACCGACGTATATTGAACCGTGTTATCTGTTATTTCATTTTTTGTGATATCTATACCGCCACAGTGTATATTATAGCAGTAGGTTGCTCTGTTGCCGAATTTATCAAATAGAAGTTCATTCGGTATATCCTTATAAAGTACGCTTGCAGAAAGTTAGTTGTCGTGCATTTAGTTAAACAGATTAATATATGGCAATACCGAAGGCCCGATCCCTCCCAACCTCTAATTCTGGGGGGGACTCAAATGGCGACATTGAAATTGTGTCTCTTGAGTTGCAGGTGTCCATGGGTAGGGGTAGTCACTTACCATCAGATGGTCTGTTTGTTTGATTGAATCCTATAAAAAAAAACTACTAAAGTATTTAGCACTAATGTATGTATTATACGTACATACATTTCATAGGAAATAATAAAAATTATACTATGGCCTGTAAAATTTTACTAAACGTAATCAATTTATATTTTTATTATGACGACAATATTTAATAGAAATTTTTGCCTATATTGCACTCTATAATAATACATGTTCGGTTTTCAGGAAGTGGCGCAAGAAAGTCTCCGAGTGGCACATGAACAGCGGCTGGCTCTAGAGGAGACGCTGGAGCGGCGCAGCAGAGAGGTGGCCGCGCTGCACCAGCACAACTACACTCTCCGACTCACCGCCAACAACGCACTCGCCGAGCTACAGGTACTTGCAGACCTCTAACAAGTCTCCTCACTCACGACACGATATGGTTTACGTTGAATGTTGTGTGTGGACCGATATTATCTCACAGTTATACATTATTTCCTTATTTATACACCTTTACTTCCATATAATGTACCAACTGTTGACTGCACTGATGGCGTAGTGGTTTGAGCGGTCGCCACGCCCTTCCTACTACGTTGAGTGTTTTGGTTTGACACTTTGTGTGATCCACAAATTCTCGTTCTGAGTCTGGGTGTTCTTTGTATTCGTTTCATGTATGTTTGTAAAGTTCGCCGCGACACGGGTTTATTCTTAGTGCGGGAGTTGTCTTTAAAAAAATAAAATAGAACTACTAACTTTCACTTATCCGTCGGAGAGCCATGTGTCGTCACGAATGCTCACAAGGCTCGACCTGAGTGATGCCTCGGCCTGAGAGAAAAGCATGGTTAAGCAATTCTTTCGTTGCTTTTCACCGCGTGAGTGGGGTTACCTGAGCCCAAACCCTCTCCCCCTTTCTTTTTTTTCCGTGCGGAAATCCCCTCGGATACCACCTATCGGTGGCATGTCGGACTCGAACCGACTAAAACCGCACGCCGTCTCGGATACTAATAGCCGGGGAACCAGGTAAAACCCTCTCCCCCTAACTCTGAGGGGCGGGGCGATAAAGGACAGTAACACATATGTGACTCGTAGAGTTATAATGGTCTATGGGCGGCGGTAGATACTTTACATCAGGTGACCCGCCTGCTCTTTTGTTTGTCCTTCTATACCATAAAAATCCGGACGAATGCGAGTCGGAGTTACCCACTGAGGGTTCCGTACAAATTTGTAGCTCAAATAGTTTATATTTAAAATTATTTATATTATTGTTTTCTATCAGTGAAATTGTACCTCAATGATTGATTACGTAATTTAAAGAAAGACAATATTTTTATGGTTTAATTACAAATATATAGATTTCAGGTTTCGCTATAATTGTAGTATAAGACGATGTTACCTTCACAATTTCATGGTTCAAGGTCAACGAGAAGTACCCTATGAATTTGGAGTCCTTTGAGGGTGACGAAATATTTTATGTGTTTTTTGCGGCTTAAATGGCAGTATCTTTTAACGTTAACTTAGAAGTCTGACTTTTTTCACAGCTTCAAGGGACTGTAGATCTGAGGTATAAGCTTTTAATTTCAACTCGATACCTCCACGCGTTCCGAGATAAAATGTCTTGACAGACGGACAGACAGACAGACAACAAAGGATATAAGGGTACCGTTTTTTTCTTTTTGTGGTAGCGAACCCTGAAATACAACTAGTTGTGGCAATAAATTAACAACTCTGGTGATTACCTGTGACTTGTATACTTGTATTCAAGTGGCACTTATGTTGAATTAACCAAAATTAGTATTAAGCAACAGTTGTGGCTAATTACGGTTGACAACAACAATCAACTAATTACGGTTGAAACAATCGTTTGTTAGCATTTAATGCTAAGAAAAGGTCAATAGGTAAAACAAACAAATATGACATGAGCTCCTAGATAGTATGAACAACCGCGTAATATTCAAATAACCTGTTCCAAACATGTAATTTGATTGTAATTGGTGATTAGTGAAAGTCATCGCGTGTTGAATTTCTCAAAGTTTCCTTATTGTGTTGGCTAGCCATTAGATGGCTGGTTTACGAGATGGGAAAGTAAATCTTATTAATGTAACGTTTTATTTTAAAGTTAAACTACGCAGGACAACATAACTGCAAAGAGAGGGAAATTTGACATAAATCCAATACCAACCGTTTGGCAATCGTGGTGTAGTAGGCTAAATCTCCTCTCTAAGGAGAGGCCCAAGTGGACCAATCGTGGACTATTAAAGGCTGTTGATTACTAACTATAACATACATTTTTTAGTGTATAATATATTATAGTATAAGAAATAGGTAAAACTACAAATAATAATTTTAACTGTTTATGTAATTGTACGTATTGCTACTCATTTACATATTTTCTTATATTTATATAGAGACTGATGACAACCACAGAACTTTTATTTTTTTCAAATTACCGCTTAAAAGATCACTGTCATAAGCCTTCACGGTAATTTTAAAGTTGTTAAGTCTTGACACTAAAATTGAATCAAATATTGAATGAAGATCACTCATAAGCGTAACAGCCCTCGGGTAGATCGGAATGGCTTCAGATTTATCGGAGAGCTATTGTTAGTATCTCTCGTGTTGTAAGCCATTATAAATAGTAGACTTAGTTGATGTTCAGTAATAAGCTCATTTAAGAGAGTTGTCCCCCGTCCCGCAGAAGCTGGCGGCGCGCTGCGAGCGCAAGATGTGTGCGGCGCGCCTCGCCATCGCCGCTGCCGAGGAGCGCGAGCTCGCCGTCAGGAGCCATCTTCCACTCGCTGTGAGTTCTATGCATACATTACCATTTACTACTTCACGTTTAACCATAAACATTACACCATTATCTACTGCATTTTTATAAACGACTAGCTGACCCGCGCATCTTCAATAAGAATAAATTTTGCCCGTTTATGCAATATTTTTCATTGATTCTCGGCTCATATTAGTCGCCTTTCTAGATAAGTAGGCTTTTCAACACTAAGAATTTTTAAATTCGAACCAAAAGTTCATGAAATTAGATAAAAATTAACGTTCCTGATTCAATTTTATACCAAGTTGTTGTTTGTTTGTTTAAATATATTTTTTCTGATAACGTGTTTTAAATCATCTTTTGTACAACTTCAATGTTGTTGTTTAATTATGTAGTGCGTAAGCTGACTGATTATTTTGATCTCAGTATTCAGTACAAAACGGTGAAGCGAAGATGCTGGTCGTGAGCACGGATAGTAATAAGCTAGCAGAGGCGAAACGCGGAGGGTCATTAGAGGAAGCGGTACGAGCCCTACCGGACTATATCAAATTATTACTGCCACAACAATTACTCAACAAGGTAAACAATCATATTTGAATTCACACTTCCTATTTATTTTGCATTAGCTGAAGGTTGACTGATAGGGATTTCCTTAGACAGATGTGCATAAGGCAATTCTTCATATTCTCCCAAGCCTATATCCCAGATCTCTTTGGGGTCTTTCCTCTTAATCCTTCTATGCTATTCTATCAGGAATAGCAGGATTATCATCAGTCATTTCTGAATTTAACGCCTCTTCTTCTGTTATATCTAGTGTTCCGTTTGTGTCTAAATTTAGTAAACTTATATATTTATTGTTTTTGTATATAAATAACTATTCAAAGTGAAATAGAAAGTAATTTTCATTGTGCTATTAGAATTAGACCGTTCAATCAAAAAGTATCTAATTAAGGAAAATAGGATATTAATGTTGTTTTTTTTATTTAGGTGGGGATCAAAACTATATCTGCGGAAGGAAAGTCAGCCAAGGAGTTCGAATTAATATTAAAAAAGAATAATGTTTATAATAACGAAAGTAAAGGTAAGAGATATTGCATTAGAGAGATTTTCTTTAATAGACATTACACCACGGGAACAAAATCAGCAATCGTAACTTCTGAATAAGAAAATTTCCACTCAAGACACTAAGGCACACAGTAAGAAAAGTTAACTAGTTAGCCTGTTAGAATCAATACTTTTATTTAAAGCGCGTAGAAGTAGGGTTTTCTTATAAAGTAAGAAAGTCTTTCATAAAAAAATACTATTCCCGAAGGAGAGAAAAATATATTTAAGGGAGCGAAAGTGTCCGCATAAGCTATATCATATAGCTATATCGCATAAGAATAAAATTATCTTTATTGTTTCATATTTTTCGCTATTATATTGTTCCCATTATCATGAAGTTGTCACATACATATTGGCACAAAACAAAATAATATGCAGAAAAGAAATCTAAAGGCAACGTGTATGCATAAGAGATTTTAAATGTTTTGCTCTTATTAATTATATACGTAATTTACTTTACAGAGAAACAAAATACCGAAGACAGCGGCGAAAGTGGCAGCGGTGAAGACAAAAACAGTGATCCTGAGTCGTGTACTGACGATGAGAAGCAGTCGCGACTTAATCACGGTGAGCTATAATCTCATTTTCGTAAGTAGAAGGACTATATTGTTAAAGTCAAGCCATTACTAGTCCACTTGCTGGACATTAGTGTTGGAATCATTAGTCTTGACACTCAAATTTAATTTTTGAATTCCCAATTAGCTATTTTAGTTGTAGTTGTAAAATTTCGTGCAACTATGAATTAATACGTACACGTCACACTCTTCAAAACTTAAATTACCTATACCTTCTCTATAATTTCTTATTAACAGATATACTATATAGGTACCAATTCGATGAAAAACTTTACCAATTTAACAAAACACTACAAGAAAACAAAGTCATTCAAAACAATACCTAATCTCTTGGGCACTTGCCAATGCTAGTCGTAATATACAAAATAAAATATTCGGGAATTATAAAAAATACGTGCATTTCTTTTAAAATAGACAATAAAATCCTTTGCACTCTCAGAAATAGCATCAATCGCGCCGCGCACGGTCGCTGTTCTGACCGAAATAGGTACTAAATAGGTACTTAAACGTGATATCAGACGGTTCATTTTTCCTTCACTTAGCAATTTAGCATTAGCAGATTTATTAAATTAGTCTTCGCGTTAATGCGAATGAGAAATCACGCGCTGTGTTAATGTTAGCGCTAACGAATGAAGCGATTAAATTTCGTATACGTATTCGTATATCAAACGGTCACGAAATTTCACGACTACAATTTATTTCCTAACTACTAAATGGTAAGTAAGAATTTACAATTAAATATGTGTCAAGACTAATTATTCCATCACTACTATATAGTGTTTTTTAATAAGAAGTTTGATTATAGAGTAGGTATAGGTAATTTAAGTTTTGTAGAGTGTGACGTGTACGTTGTAAATAGGTATTTTGTGAATATGTAGATAGGGATATTTTTTGTAATAGATAGTGTTAAGTGATTGATTGACGAAGGCTAGCATATCGCGAACAAACCCCTAAATTGCATTATTTCTCTAATAATGTTGGAGAAAATAAAATAGTAGCCACTCTTGATCGGGCAAATCGCGGTGAGTTAAAATATAATATAAATAAGTTATTTATGTAAAATTAATACTTAGTGATATACCTACAAGTTACGATCGTTTTACATGCTGTCCTCGTACGAAATTGCAATATTAGCAAATAATATTGGCATTAGCAATTAACATGCTAAGAAATAAGAATTCGCAATTAATTAAATGAAATCTAATTAGCATTAATGTCCATTGCTACTGGACATAGGCTCTCCTTAGAAAGCAGGTTTTACGCCACAATGGCCAGACGGGTCGCCATAGGGTTTGTGTCAGGTTTATCTTTGTAATTATAGAAAACACCGTTTTAAGTGTTTTTATATGGGGCTCCTCTTGGCTATAATGCTTCTAAGGAACAAACCGCCCGTTCTAAGTGGTTCAATGAATTCCAGTTTAAAACAAAATACCTACATATTGATTTATATAAATCGATCAAAATAAAAAGTGAATAATCATTTGCATTCCTTTGTAATGTGTTCGACAATATTATTGTTGTTTTTAAAAAACGGTAGAACCCCTAGTAAAAATGATGGATGATAATTAAACTCGTACCGTTTATAAAGTGAATCATCCTAACTATTTTTATGTAATTATCATATTTTTAGAACTTTGCTAAAAGTAAATAAATTCTTCTCAAAGAATTGTTACAGCTGCAATAACTAAACGTTCGTGTTGTTATCAAAACGTATTCCTACGTTTTCTAAACTTGTTATGTTTAAAATATAAATTACATAAAAATGATATGTTTACATCGAGCTCAATGAATGAGCTCACTTGTGTATTTAGCAGTTAAAAACAAACATTTCTTTATTAACTAAGTTGACTGTAGAGATTAGACGAAGTAATAAAGGAATGATTATTTTAAATCAATTAATTTAAGGAAAGGTACTTAAAAAAATTATTCAAATTATTTATTTCAAATTCAAAAAAAGGTAATAAAACTGATTTGACAGCCCACCATTTTATTGACATCTTAATAAAAATATAAACGTATGATTTTGAACGATATCTATGTTAACTTATTGACAGCAATGACAACTAATTTGTGACAGCGAGCTGTCATTGGTATCGACTTCAGTACAGCTTATATGCAAACTACAAACTGAAATAATTTTTGAACGCAAAGTTATAAAAATCTTGTAATTAAAACTGTAATTGTTGATGATATTGCCAGCCAAATAAATACAACAATAATCCCTACCATGAGATACGCAAGGCGGTTCAAAAGTCCCATACATGCCTGTCATTGTCCTTTTGTAAAAAAAACCTAGTAATTTTTTATCAGTTTACAGGGCCTGCAACTGGAGCGGGCTGGCGCTAGGAGGGGTCCGGATATCTTAATAACAGCTGTTCCCGGATCCCTCCTATTACAGGCGCAGAGTGGCACACCGTGTGGTTTTAGTCGGTCCGAGTCCGACACACCACCCCGCCGCAAACCCCGGTGGGGTGACGGTCCGAGGGGATTTCCACACGTTAAAAAAAAAAAAGGGTTTGTTTTAAGTTTTCCTTCTTTGCAATTTTCCGTCACCTCACAGACGATTCATGTCGTGTGGTAAATTAATATTATTATTATAATATTTGAATGACTCATTTTTGTATCTCTAAATAATCCGGGAGGTCTTTACAATTAACGTGCAGAAAATAACAGTCCTCTCTCTATTTACAGTACGCTCGTCGATTGACAAATATGAGGATATTTGGGGACATTTGTAAAATAAAACATCAAAAATATATTTTAGATTGTTTGAATTAATGCCAACTCATGACTAATACAACTATAAAAACATTTATCATTTTAGACCCTGATCACGAGTCGGAGTGTTCGAGCCAGTTGGACGGTGAATTACGCCCCGACAACAACGCTAACTCAACCTATAGCGAGCCTAGTACTAGAGAGGAATCACCGGTAAGTAATTGCAATCTATGAATCTCTGCGAAAAGTTTATAAAAATATAGCGTAGATGAAGAGAAATTACTTAAAACAGGACTGCCTGAAGTCAGTCTTTAATACAATTTTATCCTTACTTCTTCCCGCAGTAACAGGGAAGCCTATGTTCTTAAAATGTCCAAATTGTTTGTAGAAACTTGCAAAAGTTTTTTTGTATTATAACATAGATCTACGGACATATAGTAATAGCAGGTTATATAGGTAGTTAATAATCAAGTGTAATTAAATATGTAATGCTCCGCATTCAAAAGTCACTTGAAGGATTTGATAATTAAAAAGCAGTATTGCTTTCTGGATGAGGTGTATTCCATGTCCTTTTCTGTACCCATGTTAACTTGATATAAAATTTGAAGAAACTCACTTTCAGTTGTAAATATTACAACTAGATGTTGTACTTATATTCGGTTCGTCATTATTGATGTATTATCCTGTAGATATTTTGAGGCTTCATTTAGTAACTGCAAAACTCCATAATCTTATTACTTATAGTTAATTTGTAACAATATTTCTAGATCATCTTCCTTTCTTTAAAACTTAAAAGTAACTTGCATTTACTAAATGTAACCGTCAGAAGCCGAATAACGTAAAAGGTAATATTTGAACTTGGCTAATGACACCCTTAATTAGTGGGATGTGGCTGTAACGATTGCCATATGATTAATAACTATTATAATACTTAGGACTGTATTCCACTATCAAATGCAAATGATTTTTTATCTTCTGGAGTCACCAAAAAAAAAGGTAGACCCCCGTGATGTGGGTCAGCGTCGTCTACAATGCACGTTTATATTATCAGAAATACCCTCACCACGTTAATATATCTTTCCGTCTTTTATATGTTAATTTCCAGCGAAAATGCACTCTTAATAAGCTAATGACTTGGTCCTCTAGTGTGGCTAACTTAGTTTTTTCTAAATTGACAGCAAAGTACTGTAAATTGCTCCTGTAAAATGTGTCAAACCTTTAGATTTTTAAGAAAGCTTAAGGTGTTATTTTATGTTTTATTTATAATGTATGACATAAGGAAATCGTTAAGAAGATCGTTATCATACAGCGCTGCTCATGAAGCGATGCTTTTTGCTAATTGTGACTTAGTCAGAGTTCCAAAGGATGTGGAGAGGGGTCGGTATCAGTTTTGCGACTAAAATGAATTTTTACATAACTTTGAGGTTGATTTATACCACAACTAATTATGCTTACCTTACTGTAATAACTTTGTTTTTTATGATTACCCTTGAAATAAACTAATTTATAAAGATTTAATGTCAGTGTGTTGAATTGGAATGAAGGCAGTAAGCTTAATTACATTTTTATAAAATGTATTTAATGGTTTGCCGCGCTCTTGGCCTCGTCAAACGCTCGATCCAGCCCTGACACGCAGTGATTCATCGTTTAGTCAATGCGCCGTGAATCTTCTTATAATGCGATGACGAACATTCTGTTAAATGTTGTTGTCTTGCTGTTAATAGTTAGTTAGCCCGTGACTAAATCACCGACTTCGATGTCTATATCTTAGATACAATAAATCTGTAGTCGTAGTGTTTTTGTTCAACCACACATCTTTATAAATAAATAAAATTGAAGTATCTGGTTGTAATGTCATAATAACATCTTTGTTCTAAATGCATCTTAATCTTTACTTTTAGTCAGAAAAACAACAAATTTTGTGTCTCTCATTGTTTCGGCTTATTTCAATTTTATGATGAGTTTGAGATGTAACTGTAAGGAGCCGAAAAGTTACAAAAATAATTAGTGTTCCTACTACCTAACCGAGACATTTTTACACGGGTGAGACTGTGGCTTGTATAGTTAATTGAAAATAAAAATAGTGGGGTTATTAAAGGATAAGTAAAATTATAATATATTTTTTTAAATGTCTCTGGATGTATCAGCGATTATATAATAAAAAAATAAATAATAAATATTTCCGACATCTAACACAGAACGCCATCTAGTTTGAAACTAAGCAGAGCTTGTACTATGAAGACTAGATTGACTGGTAGAATACTTATATACTTTTTCTTCGTAAATACTTACATATTATTCATAGAAAACACCCAAAAGAAACGATAGTCATTGGTCAGTCAGTCAATCACACGTACAGTACAGTATGTACAGCCAAGATAAGAAAACTTTAAATAGGTATCTTGCTTACATACATCTCCCGGAGATCAGCGTTTAAAACATTTTTCCATTTACTCACATCCCTCACGAGTCTCCTACCGTCATTTTTCAATCTTTATATACTGTATTGCATCAAACTTTTAATAAATGTGGTAATCCTATAGAATTTCCTAAATAATCTTACTTCGGTTCACAATATACTTACTTATTTTGTTTAATATCGTTTGTGGTCTCCGTGGCAGGAAGCAGCTGCAATTTATCTTTATAATATTCAGTTCGTGAGAATAATTATGCATTTTTGTTACAAATAAAACAGATTTGTATTTGCGTAACATTTTTAATATTCGCGGTAAAGGGCGGTGTACGGTGCGAGCATATTATTAAGTATGTTAATGCACAATTTCACGGTGCCGTGGTTTCGTGCGATGCTTTGTTCTTTATTGCGATGTGAGCGGTGGACGGTGAGTCAAGCTATCGGGCGGCGCAGAACAGGCAACGCCTTTTCCCGCCCACAAATAATTCATTGCATCCTAATACTTGACGGTTCGGACATCTTAAGGCGCTGCTTACGCTTTGTGTTGCAGCTGCACGATAAAACATATTTAGGTTTATATCTTCCAATATGAATTAGTGCCATCGCTGCTGTAAAGTTTTTTAGCGTAAGGAGTTTCGTATTATTAGGCATTTTCTTATAACAATTCAAAAGAAAGAAATCTTAATTTGCCTATTGAAGTATAGAATGAAGATATATCCCTAGATGAAACCTTACTCTAAATGATTAACTTGAAATATCTGAACTATTGTTTGCATGTCGAGATATATTTCTAGATAGATATTATACGGAATAGTATAATTTAAATGAAATTCAGGTCTTAAATCTAACTAAGTTTTGTATTTGAAAGTACTAAACTAGAAAATCGTTTAGTAGTGTATGTATGAGTTTCGAAGGTTAGGCACACCTTCGAAACTCATACAGTGTATGTATGAGTTTCGAAGGTGTGCCTAACCTTCGAAACTCATACTACTAAAAAAACTTAGTTAGATTTAAGACCTGAATTTCATTTAAATTATACTATTCCGTATAATATCTATCTAGAAATATATGTCAAGTAACAGTTGACAGTTTACGCTATTAATAGGTAATATTAGGTTGTGGGGCACATGACTGCTAGACCCTTTGTAATATATGAAAGACTATATGTGATAGATATTATCTGAACATTAGTATTTATTAAATTAAAATAACTTATTTTTTCGGATTAATTGGTCGGATCAAAGTTGATAAACGTCGATTTTTAATTGCATTTTGTTCACAAATAAACCATTGAGTAATAAATCAATTTGTGCTTTAGAGCAAGGCGGGCGTGGAGTATGCAAACATTTTGCGAGTGATGGCGGGTCTCAACGAGGAGATAAAAGTACTTCGCGAACGCTTGAGCACCGCCAACGCTGACATCGAACAGCTCCGAGCCACTCGGGACGAGCTACTCGCTGCACAACCCGACGCACAGGAAGCGCCGGCGATAGAAGCTGACGATGCGGCCGCTTACCGTTCTCGGATTGCAGACCTGCAGGTAATAAATAATGTTATTATTCATTTCTCTTACAATTTACACACAAATTAAAATCTGCTATATTTGCTTCTGCGCCCAAATGCGTAGGAAATAAAATCTCTTTCTCTAATATTTTTAACTATGAATTTTCACAGGTGGTAGACTGACAAAAAGTTTAACTATAGCAGATTATTTTTATGTATTTTAGGCTCAACTAACCCTTTCGACGGTCGCTGAAGAGGCGAACATCGCTAAGATTCAGCGAATGGCCAGTAGCGCAGCCGAAATGCAAGCTGAACTCGCATTCCGACCGACGCGAGCGGACATCGACGATCTCACGGCGGTCGTGGGTAAACTTCGATCGGATCTTCTCGCCAGAGAACAACAGATAGAGAGGATGCGAATCTCAGCTACTTCTACCGTCCGAGAAAAAAATACGGTAGAGAAGGCCGTCGAGACCGGCGGGTCGCTCGAGGACCTGCGTCGTATCGGCGACGACGACTCCTCCACGGAGAGGAGCATCGACACCGGCAAGATCTCTGCCGAAATCGACGAGATGTTCCGTCTCGACTACGAGGACGACGAGGAGACGGACTCCGCCGTCACCGAGATCAACCGCGAAGAATTCGACGCCGAAACGCCGCCTACGACCGAAACGGGCGAAACGGAAGAGGCGGACGAGGGCGGGGCGGTGACGAGCGCCGCGGGCGAGTTCGTGCGCCTGGACGACGGGTCGCGGCTGCAGGTGACGCTGCAGAACGGCTCGCTGCACGCGCTGGAGGAGGAGCTGGTGCGCGCCAAGGAGCGCTGGGCCGAGGTGTGCGCCGAGCGCGCGCGCCTGGCCGCGCAGCTCGAGCTGCTGCAGCACAAGGCGCCGCGCCTCCAGCCGCGCCTGCTGCTGGCGCTGGCCGTGCCGCTGCTGGCCGTGTGCCTCTACTACATGCTGCTGCCGCACATCTCCTGATGGACCGCCACGTGGGACCCGCCCGGGTACGCCTAGCCCCGGCGAGCCCGTCGTTCGCGTTCTTTGCTCACTCTCCCGGTAACCTCTGTGACTTCGAGTACGTCCGACCGGGCCTCTGTTTTCGGACGATTCGACTCCGCCGCCGTTGCCTCGTTTGAATTATTATTGTATGCGCTTCTCGTTCTCGAACGCCGACCGAGGGTTTCGGTATATTTATGGAATAGAATAATTTAGAATATTATATAGTATATTAACTATGATAGAGTCGGTCTATTGTGCACCCTCGGCGCGAGCGGTTCGGAATTGCGTAGCGGCGGGAACTCGTGGAAAGTGCCATTGCAAGCGAGGTGGCGTCGCTTCGCCGCCAGAGCCGGTGCACGTTGTTATCGCATGACTGTATATAAATTAGTATTGTTTCTGTAAAAATTGTCAGTATCGTATCGATATATAGTATAAATTGATTGTTGATATCTGCCATAATAAATAACTGTACATTTTAAAGTTTAAGGCCTAACGACTGTCCTAAGTTATAGTAATTATTGTTGTAATACTATTGAAATTCTCAGCCGAGTGCCGTTCGGCGACTTGAAATCAACCGATTATCCCTTGTTAAATATTTTAGGTAAATAATATATTGATAGTGTGTTCATCTTTTTCTTATAATATATACGGTCGGGTCGTGTCGCGCTCGCCTCTCATCCTGCATTGAGCCACGCTTCGGGAGCTACACATATCATTGTTAGGATAATACGTTGTGGCCATTTACCTGTTCATGGACATAGGCAATACGTTTCTTCGAATGGTTTGCATTTTTCTAGTCCTTAGAATCGGCGTCGAGTTGATTGCATGACGTTACACGCTTCTGCGTGTTTTAACTGTTTTACGGTTGTTAATTTAGACGACCCGTCTGTCGCGGATGCATTTACGCGCAGCACTGATATTTTGCATTGTTTTGACAATATTTAGTAGCCATGAAGCATTTTAGTTTTTGGTCGTCGAGTTACGGCATTATGTTATGTGCATGTAGAATTATTTTTCGTTTGGAAATATTAAGTGCCACGGATTAATTCGTTGTAATATTTGAGTTTAGTTGTGAGAGAGAGTGTGTGGGTGAGTGACGTGTTGTTGTGAGACGCATCTCAGTTCAAAGTTCGCGTATCCGCGAGGCAGTTCTCACGGTCGACCCTCGAGATCGCTTAGCTCTGTGATGTGAAGGCCAATAGATAATTTTGTAACAAAAATTGTAACTAACGATTGAATGATTATATCTTTAGATTAATATAACTCTACCACGTTGAAGTCCACTGTCTATAAATATTTATTAATTTAATTGTTGCACTGATTTTTGTTATGTTCTATGTTTTATTTTGTGTTTAAACCACCTTATTGTAAATAGTTCGTATCTTATATTCGTTCGAATGTTTAGTTTCATGCTGTCGAAGACTTTATGTTGTATTTTATTGAGTAAATTTCATATGCATTCAATGTGGATGTACTGATAAATTTATTGGAAATAATATTGATTTGTTTAAATCTTTGTTTCTTTTTATACCCTGCAGTTGTTTTCAATAGTTTCTTGCGTCTTATCTGTACTTAAACTATTTCTCGAAAGTATTAATTGACAGCCAAGTAGGTATGACGCAGTTGCCAAATAATAAACTGACTAATAAGATACGTAATCGGACGTAGCACGATTTCTATTTATAACGTATACGGAAGTAACACTGTGTTTCTTTTCATCACGTAACGAAACGCATTACATTGAATTGTGTAATGCAATTGTCTCTGTGTGTAATAAGTTGGTTTATGTTTATTAACCCTCTTTTATATAAATATGCATAAAAAACGGGTTAAGTTGCAGTTTGTTACGACAGGCCTAGACGACTACCAACATGTAATATCGAAAAATAGAGTCTGATCTTATTTATATTTTTACTATCGTGTTATAGGTACGTGGCGGCTATTTCGAAAACTATGAATAAAAAAGAAAACTTGAAGATTATGTTAGTTACTAAATATATATACCTACATATGTTCTACAATCACTTAGCATTAGCTTCGTCGCATGATTGTTTGCTACCTGAGTGCTATAGGAACTAAACTGAGATAACTCGCATACCCTTAATAATGAAAGATAATACAATTGCTTAGTAAAATTAAAAATACTAAGATTTACTAGTGAAACCTAAGATACACCAATATACGAGCGTATATATTTTTTTTTATTAAATTCATTTAAGTTTAGCTGCCTTTTTAACATAACAAACCTATTCTACAATAATTTACATAAAATATACATGAGTATACTTGATATTCATAACCTCACTTATTTGTAAACTTACCCAGTGACGTGAACCAATCAGAACACTAGAAAGAGACAACTACTGGCCGCACATTCGCTTTGTCTCTCTTCTTTTCGGTCTGTATTCACTGCACAACAGACTAAGGAACGCGCATCCATTCTCTAAGGTTAAGATGGAGTATATATATAGTATAGTAGATCACTATTGCCCCACATGCTATAAATAAGAAATTTAGTTACCTAAATATAAGGATATTAAGGCTGGGTCGGGTCTAACGGCCTCTGAGGTGCGCTTTATTTTGGGCGGTCAGACTGAGCCTCCGTCTACACCGGTGCACCATACAGTGCTATTGACCGGGCAAACCCCGTGTACAGCCGTCTTTTCGCGACGATGTTGCGAGTTAGATTGGGCAAGTCGCTCAAGGGCAGACGCATGTCTTAATACGAGTCAGACGAATGTCTTAATAACAGCTGTTACTAGATCTCTCCTACTTCGGGCGTAGAGTAGCACACACCGCAAACCCCTGAGGGGTGACGGCCCGAGAGGGTTAACACACGTAAAAAAGGGCCTTGGTGGGATACCAACGCGATGTTACGTTCGGTGATCGGCACTGGTATCTTTCATCTGATCACTCGCTCACGCTCCCTGTCTGACCCAGCTTTTTTACTATACTTACATTAATGTCACAACACTATATAAAGACTAAAAATGGTTTTTGTGCACATTACAGAAATTCTAGTGCGAAGTGCTTTAGCAGTGCATTACAAGAAATACATGACACTGAACCTGACTTAATGAAGAAACAGTTATAATCTTGTGCTGTGTTACTTGCAATGATCTGGGTCTCCTGGAGTTAGACAGGAGGAGCTGCTACTGGATTAGACATGTAGCTTTTCTATGATTTTTTTTATTTTCGAAAGCGTGTTTAAGATATTAGGAAAACACCAGCGCATGCGCAATGCAGTGGGCGTACTGAGAACTTGGTGAAAAACTGTTTCTCGTTATGCTCTGAGACTGAGTGTAAGCTAGCCTGAATCTTGTAGAACTGTGCTTATTTAGCACCTATAACTGCGGTACCACACCATGAATACGAGTACATGTTAAGAATAACCCCTAATTTCCTGCTTTACAGAAAAAGACTCGAAATGAAAGAAGGGATGTAACTGTATAAGAAATATGTACTTACTGAAGCATGTTAAAAAGATTCACATTATCTGCAAATATTAAAAGTAAACTGCAACATCAGGGGTTTTTGCTTAGACATCGATGATGTCTGCCAACCTTGAGACTGCGCAGCCGAACTTGTTCCTTAAGGCTAGGTAAAGTATTAGTATTATTATGTCGGCACTTTATCACGTGTGTATTCCGGGAAGAGTGTTCAGGTATCGCGCTGGATCTTTGTGGCTACTGAATCTATAAAAACACACAATAGATCTGTTAACTTAAAGGTTGTATAATTATCACATAAGTTACATCCGCGACTATTTCCATAGATGCAGTTGCAGAAATTAAAGATGGAATATGGTCGTAATGTCCCCTCTGCAGGATACCACGAGGGACAAGATTCATAATCATCTTTGCCCCCTGCAACATATAAATAAATATAACACATATTAAGAAAAACTGGACTAATAAAAAGACTGGACTACATACACTTATAATGAAAAGATCTTGCTTTTACACATTTATTTATTAGTCAATGACTGGCCTCTGCTTTTAATCATGATATATGTAGATTTTATAAGTTTAATAATTTTCTTTTAAAATAATTAAAATTTCTTTAAATAGTTTATTAAATTCACAACCTAAAGAAAAACTATTCAAGGGCCAGCAGGCAACTGTGTCGTATCGCTGACACTGGCCGACATCAGGGATTTAAATTTTGATAACACAAAAATTTAGTCGCTAATTAGTCGAAATTTGTCGCCAAATATCAGAATTTGTTGGTTACTGGTTCAAAAGTTATAAGCGTTTATGTCAGTTTGCCCCTGCTGAGGTCAGTTTCCCCAGCTTGGCGACGCTTGTATCTCAAAAACTAGACACCTAACGAAGATTTGTTTTCTCCCAAATTTATTCGCTAATTAGTCGCAATTTGACGCCAAGTCACAGATTTAGTCGGGTCTAAGTTTAAAAGATATAATGAGCCCAATTTTTAAGGTAGGTATAGTCTAAGAGCTAAATTGCAGAGTTTACGAAAAATATATTATTATGTATGTGTACTGCTAGTTTAAAGTCCTTATAAATGTCAAAGAGAGATAATATATGTACATATACGTTAAAATTGTCTTACCTTTAGTAAAATGTTTAAAATACTTAAACATAGGTATTGTAAGTATATAAGTATTAATCTATTTCTTGAAATATATTACCCTTACCTAATAAACACTTTCCCCCCGAAACAAAAATAAATACCTAGTTTTTTTTTTAACTTTAATTAAAGTTATATTGTTTTATCATAGAATCAATACCAAGTTACGTAACATCATATTATATACTAGCTATACCCTGGTTGCAAAGAATAGATAAAGACTATCTGGCCCACGCTACTGCGTCTGCATCTCTCAAAAAGAATAAACTTTGCCCGTTTTTGTAAAATTTTTCATTGGTTGACTGCTCCTATAGGTCGTAGACTAAAAAAAACAATGTATGTGTCCACTACACACACACTGTTTTTATTTAGTAAATGGAATACCCAATTGCAAATCGAAACCGTTCTCAAATCCACGGAAACAAAATTTTCATCAAAACCGGTCCAGCCGCTTAGAAGTTCAGTTACATACGCACGCACAGAAGAATTATATATATAAAGATAATTTGGTATATTTCTATTCTATTCCAGTTAGGAAAAAATAATGATATTTATCCACAACTTTTAATTGGTCCTCACCATGTTATTCTTTTTTTTAAGTTTTATTTCTAGCTTTAATACTTAAATAATAATAAATGGGTGTGCATTTTATTTTGCCATAAGTGCGTAAAGCAATCCGCTTTCGGCCGTCGAGTGCTCAAGATCGTTGCAGGTATATCATATATTCTTATTTCAGTAACAGATTTTTTTATTGCATTCTAAATTCGAGCCTCACATTATAATTTGGTAGAATAGGTGTATGTAACTGTGCATATTGACACAAGACCAAGAGCAAGGTTTAATGTTTTAAAATAAGTGACTAATTGATGATCCGTATTGAATTATTAGGTACGTTTGACGTTTGAAAGAGGGGACGGTAGACGGGTCACCTGATGGAAAATGACTACTGCCGCCCATCCACGCCTTTTTTTTATTCCGTGCGGAAATCCCCTCGGATACCACCTATCGGTGGCATGTCGGACTCGAACCGACTAAAACCGCACGCCGTCTCGGGTACTAATAGCCGGGGAACCAGGTATACCCTAGAAAGGAAGTCCCTGGTGCAAGCCCATCCACGCCTGCAACTCAGACGTCACAAGCAAGGTCACGGAGATATACTATTAAGTCAATTTTCCTGCTTATGTAATATTTGACGCCTACGCCTCTAGACAAAGGTGGCTTAGCGATTTTGAGTGACGAGGTATTTCCCTTTTCACGAAACCTCACAAACTTCGGTGAGTAAGCTAATCGTCCCTCGATATATCTTTGTTGTGCCACAACCTTTGGAAAAAAATGTTCAAAACCAAACTTAATGACCGCTTGAGAAAATAAGTCAGTAATGTAACACTCCAGAGGCTAAATATATTTTTGTATTATATTTATAATAATTGTTTGTATCGCATTATATGTGGACTTTAAGTCTTTTTGAGAATAAAGTTCTTCAAACCTATGTATTATATTAAACTTTAATTTTTTTTTCTTTAAAAGACAACTCCCGCATTAGGAATATATCCTGTGTCGCGGGGGACTTTACAAAGACCACCCTGACTCAGAACGACAATTTGTGGATCACACAAAGTGTCGTCCCATGTGGGGTTTGAATCCACAACACTCGGCGTAGTAGGGAGCGGCGTGGCGACTGCTTAAACCACTACGCCATCCGTACAGTCAAAAATTGAAAAAAAGGTAAAAGAATATAATTTAAACGACAAGAGCATGGGCTTGCTATTAGAGTGTATAACGTCTTACTGATTGAACAGATATAAAAGCCAAAGTAATTTGTTGCCCCGATGTACATTACAAAAACAAAATACATTAAAATCTCAAAAAATATGTTTATCTAAATTGGAAAAAAAGGTGTACAAGCTTATGACTAAAAAACATTGTATTATAACACATAAATGTACAGCTAAATAAATAGATACTATACTACGAGACTGAATTAATTTTTATATAAATTATTTATAGTAGTAAAAAAAATTGTCTTTTAAGCACAAGCACGCAAGCTTTATAGAGATTTGTTAACGGAGTCATCAGAATAACACTAGGAGTGTGTTTATTATTTGTCCATGTATGTATACATACATTTTGATTTTTATATTTTCTATAATATAACATGTAAAAATTGTATGTAGGTATAATTAGTATATATTTATAGGATATTTTTTTGTAACGTAAAATAATTGTTAAGTTTTACGAGTATATCTTTTTACTTTTCATGTATACACCTGCCACAGACAGCTCTCCAACACCCAAAGTTTTGACTGAAATAAAATGCAGGCTGTGGCATTAAATCCGCCATTTGCAATATGTTAGCAGGTTTAAAAAAATCAAATTCTAATGTAATCATATCTACCAAATTACAGACAAATTAAAAATACATATACATTTTCAAAAGTACAAATAAATGAATATAGAACATACAGAACACCTACAAATAATCTTCGACATATTTTTGAGGACATTGTAAATAAAATTATTTTAATTTTATCATTAAAAAAAAATCACGAAAGGATGAATACTTAGAGTTTGCATGGATGTTTTCTTAGAATACAAAAATAAAGCCTAATTATTACTGAAATATCTGACCACTTTCATTAAATAAATACATTAAAATGTCTGTTCAAAAATAGTAGTAATAAGCAGTAGTCGTTCATTTAAAGATATTAGTTATGATTGCTTGTCAAGATCGAATAGTCTGTAATTTATTTAGATAGATAATATTAAGCTCTAGTAATTATTAGTAAAAGTAATTATATTTTATGTCCCCAAGCGCGCATTTACTGATATTCAGATGAACAATTACTGTTGTTTGGCATGCTCATCATACAAATTGCATTGCAGTGAAAATCGAAACGTACCGTTAATTTTTGATTTCATTCAACAGTTTATAGCGGTACTATACAACGTCATCGAACGTTGGTTATGCGAAACCGCTGAAAAAATATTGAAAGAATCGTCTTTCGGTTCGTTTGTTTGTTGTAATGTTCTTCGTAGTTTGGTACTAAGTTTACTAGTACATTGCGTGACATTCAATGCGCGTTTTTTTGAGCTGCAGGCGTCGATACTGTGATGTGGTAATCCTTAAACTTGCGAAATCCAGCGCTGTCTGTAGAAAAAACGTATAAGCGATACAAACGGACGAAGATCCCACCGACCCGTTTATGTCGGCCGAGCTGGGAAGTTCGTCCGGGCGTAGCACTTGATACTGCTCTTCTTTCTTCACATACGTCTTCAGTTTATTTATTTGACCTCTTCATTCAGTTCTTCAGCAATTTTAATATAAAATAAATAGGTATACAATATACGACGTTGAGTAATATAATAAACATATATGTTATACATATTTCATGAAACTGGTACAGTGTCAACATACTTAGGCATTGCCATGCACCTTAATCCTATTGCAAATATTTAATTGAAAAGAACCTAAAATACGTGTATTAAAAATAATATATAACAAAATAAGTTAGTCACCTGTAATAAAAAGCGGATGCTAATGGATGTAGATTCGGCGCAGAGTGAAATAAGCGCTCGGTTGCCTTCCGTCGACCTTCGATCGGCGCGAAGCGGGCGAATGCTGTGGCGAATGTCCGACGGAGGAGCGCGCGGCGCCCGGCGTCGGCGGTGAACGAACTCACCTTGACAAATGCACCATTTGGCATTGTTCGCGGGAAAACCGGCGGCCTTGCGCGCGCGCCGCCGCCGCCGCCCGCGCCGACCAATCACGAGCCTTCGCGCCACAGCCTGCGACTGTTTTGGCGGGAACCACTTGTCTGAACCGCTCTCTATGTCCGCTGCACGCCGCACCGCGGCGCTGCGGTCTCGTCGACAACACCTCGATTTCAGCGTGACGACCTTTCGACGTAATCTTGTGAATGACATACGGGCATGTATAGCTAACCATGTTCTTTTGTTCAATGTATTTTAGACACCACTTTAGTTTTGTTGTTATGTATTGACTCTGTATGATATAATTTAGAAAAGATTGCATTTACGCTCGACATTAATTATATTTTTCATTTTAGCCTACTAAATAGTTGATTTTCATATTCCTAAATGTCGAAATAAATGGTTTAATAACAATCTGTTAATAAATATAATTTGCAGTACTAATAATTACTGACTTACATAGGCAATTAGAAGCTGTCAAGCACATTACGTGAATGTATAAAATGGTAATGTGGTCATGCTCGAGCGATTCCGAAGCTTCCCGACGATATGAAATACTGAGCCTAAGCACTTGCACAGTTTTAACGAGAGACACGAGGAATCGGCATTCTATCTTACATTTTGTTTTATTTATTCTGAATCAATTTTGTAGAAAACGATCTTTTGTCATTCATCTAGTCATACAGTTAATGATCTATTGATTTATTATTGATAGCGATTTTTACTGTTAAAGACGTAAGTTTCAAATAATCAAACTAAATATAATGAATAATATAAATTGAAGACGTAACGCTAGAGATTTAGCTGCAAGCGAGTCATTCTAAGTAATGACTCGCTTGCAGCTAAATCTCTAGCGTAATTTACGGTGTGCTTGTCAATGATTTTATTAACATTTTCTAATACGATGTGTCTGTATCTGAGACTGTCATTTTGTAATTAACTTTTAATTTGTGATATATTTTAACATATCTATTTGTTAACTAATTATACATTTACCCAGAAAGTGACAGCGTACGCTGAGTAAAACGAAAAATTTATTTTTGTGTTTGGGAACCTATAATTTTTATCAAGACTAAAAATAAGTGCCACTACTTGATATAAAAGAAACTGCGTATAATTTTAAAAGTCTAGGTCCCAATTCCCGTTTTCGTAGAAATTCGTAGTACGTGTGCTACGTCGTAGCATTGTATACTCTAAACAGGTCATACAGAAGTAGTCATATCATAGTAGCAATATATTTAAGTAAGATTTTTTGATTGTTGCCGAGTTAAAAATAAAAAAAGAAAAAGCTAATTTGGTACATGTAAATTTGAGACAACGAAGGAATAGTTTAGTTTACATGAATAAAATAAAATTTGTAAAAAAGGACCGTATTACGTTATTGTATCTATCGACATGAGAAGTTTATATAAAATAACCAACCTTTGTGTTAACAAATTTTATCTCTATTTTTAAAATAACGGACACAATAGACATGCCTGTGCCACTTGCGTAAAATGTTATGAAAACAAGATTCAATCTTGGGCTTTTTTCAACAAAAATACATCTTGCAAGACTTTTAATATTAACTGTTTCAGAAATAAAGAAAACAGCCATATTTTCTAATCATTTTACTGTCCAATCTTCTGGCTTTGGTTAAAGATTCGACACATAAATTTTATTTAACATTACTTAATAAGTGAATTCAAGTAGTCAAGTGTCAAAGCCATCATCAGCAATAATCACAATCATGGGGTTCCCTAGGGAAATATTCTGGGACCTGCTTAGTTACTGGTGCACAAAAATGATCAAATTTTAAAATCAAAAGTAAGGTATTCTCGTATGCAAATGACACGTGCCTTTCTATTTATTAACTACATATTTAATATAACAATAATACACGTTACACCTTTACACAATGATGTATGCAACATAATGGTTTATGCATAAATTAACCAATGGAATAGCTTGCAGGTCGTTTTATACAGTGTCAAATTATAGCCAGGATGCTATGCTTCAATATAAGCAGCGTATAACTGTTTGACAGACTCTTAATCATCGACTATTTATTTAGGAATTTTCCTATCTTTTACCCTTTTATACATTCTACATAAGTGTATTAAACATGATATGCTGGTGACTAAAATTATTACCCTACTGCTTCAAATTATTTTAAATTCCGTCAAGTCTGATACTCTTAATTCTAATCTTTTAGTATTGGCAGTGTGGGTGGGATAGCCTAACCTTTTTTACAAAGTGAATACGAGTTATATGTATGTGTGCAGTTTTTTATAAGACAAATTAATTACGGTAGGTTTAAAACTCAATGCCCTACCTTATAAAGAGTGGGTGCAGCTCAGTGATCGTGGTCAACGACGGTTTGTAGTTAAAGCCCTAATTGTATTTTTAATTCAATCATTCGGCGAATTGCAATTTTAAGAAAGAAGTTTTTTTAGATATAGTGATTGATGATTCTTAATTACATTCCTTTTTTCTCGACCTAATGTAATATATTTATTTATAAGTTTATTATCAAAGGGTACTACGATGATATCCTTTTGTGAGCAATCTTTGGACCTTCCTATAATTCATTGGAACACAAAAACAGTAAAGAAACTTAATTTACAGTTTTAGTGTTAGAAGCTATCCCATTTCGCATGTTTTAGGTCAAATATTGTAATTTTATCTTTTATTTAACACTTACGGATAGAAAGGTAAACGTATTTTTTTAGTATGATTTTAAAATGATATGTTTATGTGATATGTAACTAAATCGCTTTTTTCACATCACTTTTTAATTTAAATTTCCAATATTTTCATGTTGTCACAAACACGCAGCGACAAGATTGAAAGAATATACATATGAATAACCTTAATGAAAAAACAGGGTTAGGAATTGAGACCTATATCTCTGACTCATTTCACCTCTAAGTCTCTACTACAACATAGCTATTAATAAACCTATTTTCCTCGTGTTTATCGGTTAATTATCAGTGTCTGTGAATTCATAATGTTGACAGAACTGCCTTTAAATGATGTCTTGATTAGTAGTATGTATGTCTATTTCCGAGAACACCTTATTAATTGCTGTAGAAAATCAAATTGTGTATTTTTTTTGTGTTATACGTAATTGACATTTAGCTCATATGAAATTTGATGTAATCAGTTCTTGACTTTTATTTTTACTTTTTCTGTTTGTAAATTTTGATAATGAATACAAATTAAACAGAGCCTGATTCAATGTTTTTTTTTGTTTGAGTCGGCCGCTTTTTATTTTCATAATCAAAAATTCTTTCTATGTCGTGAGAGATTCCGATCTTTTTTTTGACCTTGGGCGGGAAAGTTTTCAACACAAACACAAACAAATTATAGGTATTTAAATTTACATATGAATATTTATTAATATTATAAATCACACAAACATGAGTGATTCATTGTACAATTTGTATTTATTAGATGCATTATGCAATTGGTACAACCTAACATACATTAAATTAATTTTGCTAATTATTTGATTTGGCACTGCATGCATTTTATAACTGCGCGTGAATGCTTGGAAGTATGTATACGCACTGACTATCAGAACGTTGTACTATGTAACAACACATAAAACATCTGTTAAAAGAATCCTTAAATATTAATATCTTTTGTAACTATACCTACGTGTATTTCAAATAATATTTCACTACTTATCATTTACACAGCGAGTGTCTTCGGGTTCGTGTGCGCAGGACGTGAGTCAGGTGTCGTTCACCCTCGATGCTACGCGTCATCACAATACCTAGTCCGCCGCCATTATATTTTACGCCACTTTTTATCACAGTCTCGGCTCACTTGACCCTCGTTTCATCGGAGAACGTTGAATGATGCCGATCGACATCTTATTGACATTCAACTATAATTTTATTTTAATACAAACAAATGATGGTACGATTCATTTCAATCCTGCATAAGATTGTTTAACTTGTGTGATTGTTTGTGAGAAAAGTAATCTAATTGCATTTTCATATTTGTTTCTTTTTTAACTAATTGAGCTACAGATAATGAAATTAATATTCAAGAGTCGAGAAAATTATCAAAAATGTTACCTTTAGTTACGACTTAAATACGAAGTTACTAAGTGACGATTTAGAAGGTACAAACTAAGAAGATAATGGATCTTCCTTTTGTTACCTATCGTTTCTTGAACTAAATAATTACTGAATATTTATTGGGTATGCATCCGGGAATCATGAGTCACGTATGGCGAGGTAAGCGAAGATGCGAAGATGAAATAATATTATTTCACACTAGTTAGCTGTTTTTTCTATGTTATTTCTGGTGATGATGAAGGATTATACAAAATTAAAAACATTTTAATTCTATGATTCATGGAAAAATTATTAATTAACAATCTTTAAATCTTATATTTTTTAGACATTAACATGAATATTGTTCTTCATAGTCTATGTTACGTGTTACGGTTAATATGGCAATATTAACTAGTATGAATATTGGCCTGCTACGAGATCAGTTCTAAGATTTCTAATAAATTTCCAATCACTCCTCCTTTTAAACTAAGTTATAGTTTAACTACAATTGAAGATGGTTAATAAAAATATACTCTAAGAGAAGATTTAATCACGCGTTGTCAAATACACTCGCAGTCGGACCGTTGTCTAATAGCTTTAGTTCGCCAGTATTGCCAGCTAAAATAAAATAGATAAGCACTTGTCGTAAAATAAATGTCTACGAGTATACAGTAAGAGTCAACATTTCTTGTAACAATTCGCTTTGTGAATTTGCACGGCGTGTCTGCAGCTCGTAACTTTATTCTATTACTTCTCAGAATTCGGTGGTTCACCTCCGCACGCAGTTCGTGTCCTTCCGTCCGTCAGTTCTTAGTTATCATTCATGCCACGAACGATTTATATATATATGTGTAGTATTGGGACCATTTTAAATCATGTATGTTACTCATTTTATATTAGAGCCGGCTAGCTAGATGCAAACGAGGTCCTGTTTGAAGAATTTCAATAGGAATTCAGTTTAATTGATGAGAAACGTGATTCTTTGCTTTGCATGGAGTCACTAAAATATCTACATCATTGAACTAATTTGACCTGCCTAATGACCTATCGAAACTAATTAAACTTACCATGATATTACATAGATTATAAATATTTAGTTTAATAAAATTTTATATAATTTTAATAAAATAGGCAATTGTAATTTCTTACTGATTTCAAGTTTTATAAATATTTTTTATTTAATAGG